TTAGGAATGGGGGATGTTGCTGTTGAAACTACTAGTGTAGTAGAGTACGACCGTACAGTAAAGTAACAGATCCCGTAAACTAGCTTGCTAGAGTGGTTTGATGTCAGTAAACCAGATTTTAAATTAATATGAGTGCATCAACCGATGTGCCATCTCGATCATTTCAATGATGCTTGTCACTACTTCGGGGTCAATGTGAGAGATCTTGAGGTCGTCGACATGCCATAAAATTGTGCATTGCGTTCCGCTTATCATCTTGTTGACAACTCAAGAGTCGTATGGATTCACAATGAATCCCCATTCCTCTAGCTGCGTCGACAGCCTCCTCCAGAATAGCAGAGCCGCCCTGAGTGTTCCGTACAGAGCCTTCTTCAACTTAACATAAAGGACTGGCTTGCCGTTCTCGTACACGATGTACTTCTCGTAGAGGTCAGGGTTGACGTGTACAAGTAGCTCTGCCATCTTGCCGTCAAGTCTCATATAGACAAGCTCGTCCATTTCCGCCTGCATAAATGCGCCGGGAATATCCACAGTTGCCACGGCGCGACGTTCGTTTGCATCCATGACGCATGAGAGCATGACCGCCTCGATTGCAACGGTTGGTGAACTGGCATCTTCCTTACTCGTGTGGAGCCTCTGTTTTCTACCGTCTGCGCAGCCACGTCAGATAATGTAATGCCGCCCGCTTCTCTTCCCTGGTTAACTCGTTGGCGTTCATAGGCTCAAGCACGTTGCGATCGTGGAGTTGTTGTAGCTCGTTCAGTACCGCGTCGACACCGGCATCACCGAATTCCTTGATGCCCTTATTCATATTGAGTTGGGTCATCACAGTGTGTTCCAATGTGGCGTGCATATGGCCGTAATCCCTGGGTTTGCGTGGGCGTAGATTGTAGGCTGCGGTCCGCTCGCCGTATTGTTGGTTCATTTCTGCTTCAACGTTCTCATCGTCTGGTATGTCTTCAGCCATGACGTTGATCAGTTCATTTTCCACCGCAGCCTCGTTTCGGTCGATGACGGCGTCGTCCTCGTTATTTGGTTCGGGTTCGACGGGATCGTTGTCGTCATTATGGGCGTCGGTTGCAGTAGCATCCTCGTCGTCGGCGATCGGCCTATCGGCGGCGAACCCGGCGGCGATTGCGGGATCGGGTTGAGTAACGATTGCAGGATGGGGTTGAGTAATGTTTGGTGGGTAGTAACCTTCCACTCCTGCAATGTGGCCAGGGTCAGCATCTGGCGCATCATCGTCGTCCTCATCAAACGGGTAGTCAACCTCATCGGTGTCGTCGTCGGCATTAGGAATGTAGTCGGCGTCGTTGTCATCGTCGTCGTCTTCGTTCGGAATGATATCGCCATGACGATCAGCGAATGTGAGTGCGACGTTGGCGGCGGCACGACGAGCGAGAGTGTGGACACGATCGACGACGTCTTGTGGCATCGGCAATTACGTCCAAGTGTTACGATTGAGTACCCGACCAGTGCTGAGGCTGTACAAGTAGCTAGTAGCCTCCTTGAGCATTGCCCGTAGGGCGGAGTGCAATAGCACCGGTGGTACGTGTGGTCATGGTGTTGTCGTGTTCCTCGTGGGCCTGAACATAGGCACCAAATTCAAGTTTGCAATGCTTACCTATTGAAATCAATGTGGGAGCCTGTCACGATGGCGCGTGGGCTCAGAGTATCCGACACACCATCCTTTGCCGGGAACGTATTCAACCAGAACACGCAGTAGTAGATCAATTCGGCGACCATGCGTCCAGGGATTTTGCCGAACGGCATCGTGTTGTAGACGCAGCGGGCGCGTTCCATGATAGTACGTATGTAACGCTCAGCCTCTGGGACGTGTTCGCCCCTAGCAACGGTGTTGAGGGTGATTCCAAGCTCGGCAAGATCGCCAGTAATTCCTTCGAACTGTCCGTCCATGAGCATCGTTCCGGTTGTGAACCCCCGTTTCTTGTAAACATTGCGAACAACGTCCCGGACCGCCTGAACCAGTGTTTCGTGTTTTTGGTCGGAAATAAGCACCGCCGTGCCGAATTTGATGTTACGTGAAATGGTCACAAAAAATGGCAGTTTGTTGACGAACATGATGTCTGCACCAACGATGACGTCACGGTACTGGGACATCAATTCCGATGGGACCGGCACAGCAGCAACCTCCACATATTCGGTGCCCCGACGAACTGTTTTGCCCTTCAAAGATCCCACATCAGGTCCGAAGATCTTTTCGGCAATTGATATCTTCACGGGTCACAGGGCAGTTTGGCAAGAGATTCATTTCGACGATCTTGACAAATTCCTTCGTTGTTGGACGTCCAATCATCTTTTGGATATTCCTGGCCATTATGGCACGGGTATACGCACGATTCGTGTAGCCAGCCTTGTTATCAGCGACAGTATTGATAATAACGGTTGCGACATTATTGACCAGGTTGCTGGCATCCAAGAAGTACAGCCCCCGCCCGGACTCGTTGAATACTCGGCTGGTTCCGTTGGGCTTGTTTACGGTTGCGACATTATTGACCAGGTTGCTGGCATCCAAGAAGTACAGCCCCCGCCCGGACTCGTTGAATACTCGGCTGGTTCCGTTGGGCTTGTTTACGGTGAACTTGTTTCCACCCTTGCTGTCATAGGTCACGTGGTACCCATGTTCCTTAACCCTCGACAACAACAAAATGTTGGCGATCCCGTTTGGGTGGTACCATACCGTACCGTACCCGGCAAGGTCACCAATCAGGTTGGTACTCGCAATTCCGGAGTTGCAGTGTATCTCCATGGATTCCGTATCTTCTCGTATGTTGCTGAGAAGGTCACCGTTGCAAAAAACGTCCACCGTTGACTGGTTGTCCAGGAGGATCCAGGTCTTCGGGAGCTTACCATCCTCTCCAATCTGACATGCGATTCCGTTCGATGCATTCAGGAACTGGAAATGCACGGTCGGCTCATTGAATTCCCCGCTGGCAATGCCTGCGTTGAGCAACATTGCTCCGGTCTTAGGTCCGTTCCCTCCGGAGGCGCCTTCCTTCACCTCGTTTTTCTCTGGGCACTCCGATGCGTAGTGGCCCTTCTTCTCGCATCTGTGACAGGTGATGTGGGCCTTCCCGGCTCGTGGAGTTTTTGACTTGTCATCAACGTTGGCAAAAGCCACCCCGTCGGCAGTCGGCGTACGCCATCCGGTGCGCTCCTGCTGTTTCCAATTCGTGAGCAGGTTATAAGCCTCCGCAACGGTGCCTGGGTAGTGGTTACGGCCTTGAAGGAAATCGTTCTCAAGGTCATCCATGAGCCTCCAGTAACGGCTTCGGTCGCAGCCCAGCAGGAAAGCCATGGCCGTGGATCGAGCCGTCGTCTTGTTGGTTACTTCGTGCAACTGTTCCTCTGTCATGTTTGCACGTGGGATTGTCCCTTCGGCTATGATCACGTTGTCCACTCCTGGGTGCGCGGCGATTGATCCACCGCTTTCGGTTACGACAAGTGCTCGAGGTACACTTGGGTGGTTGCGAACTTTCCTTGTGCGCAGTTGTAGTAGCGCTTCAAGGCCGTGGAGCGCGTGGGGCAGGTACTTCTGACTCTGAAACTGAAAGGCAGCTCCCTTGACCAGTTTGAGAAGTCCAAGACCGTCACCGGTGGAAAACACTCCTGCAAATGATTCGTGGGCTTTGAGTCTCTGACGCATGATCTCGGTGCACTGTCCCCAGACGAGAGAGTAGAGTGTCTTCATGTTTTCAGCAAGGTACGAGAGCTGCTTGATGTGCTCGTCGACGGTTTTCTCCCAGATGCGTGTCTCGGTTCTGTTGGCATCTTCAGGTGGGTCAGTTGGTATGGTAAACGTTGGCAATGTGAGGGTTTCAACAGCCAACCTGGCATCTCCACCGTATGTGTATGTCCTCGCAACATACGCCGCAATCTCCTTCGTCGTCTTGGTATACTGATCGGACTGACGAACATCCGAGCAGTCGTAGATGTGTCCCTTGAGGTCAGCACATTTACCCTCAAACTTGGGTGTCCTTGGCGTGAACCCCTTGACTTGCTGTCCTGAATTCCCGGTCTTCTTTCCAGCGGTTCCGGTCTCCTTCTGCGAAGTCCCCGCTCCACCATCGGTATCTTTCGACGACGATTCCTCTGGCATGATGATGTTCGTAGGTATCAGCTTGCGTATTAATTTAAAATGTTGAAACTACTAGTGTAGTTGAGTACGACCGCACAGTAAAGTAACAGATCCCGTAAACTAGCTTGCTAGAGTGGTTCGATGTCAGTAAACCAGATTTTAAATTAATATGAGTGCATCATCCGATGTGCTCAGTTTCACAATCTAATCGCTGATTCTGGTTTCGCCATTCGCGATCGTATACACGTCCGTGTTCTCCATCGCTGTTAACGTTGCAATGATTCGTCTTCATTGCATTGATGTCTCTGATCCCATCTTTGGCAATGGTCTCATCGTATCCGTTGTTCCCGACGGATCGCTTCATAGTCGCCACTTTATCATGTCGCGGTTCCTTGCGTTTGTGCGCGACCTTCGTCCATCCACCGTCTGTCCACAGTTCGGCTTCAACGATATTCAACAGTTGCATCTTTTGTTTATCAAATTATTTTGAGATCAGAATAAAGAGAGAAAGTGAAAGGGAACATCATCCAATACCCAACTGAAAAGTTAAAATCAGTTTGAAATGGAATCGAACTGACGGATAGAATTGAAGAAAACACATACATAGGAAGTAGTGCTTGATACCAAAATGACATCGTGTTAGCTGTGGAAGGACTCTGAGTTCCGAAGTCCGTGACGGATGTGATCTCATGCAATTATGCGTGTATTGCTCGTTGATTGTCAACATCGTTCGACGAATTTCACCGATACTGGCATAATTGGAGGTACAGTACTGCAGTAGTAGTACTCGCGTACCTGCACAGGAACTGATAGGTACCGGTACTGTAGTAGCACGCAAAAAACATCGTGACCACATATAGGGTATAAGTATTGTAAAATTATCTCGCTATGTTGAAGCTTTGCTGGCATGGCGCAGTGGTAACGCATTTCACTTGTAATGAAAAGATCCCCAGTTCGAACCTGGGTGTCAGCTTGGCAAAGGGTTTTTGACAAAAAAACAAATTCATGTTGTGTTTCTCTTAGTTATACTGCGTGCATTACGGTGTTCTTTGACATTTCGGTGTATGTGTTCAACAATTCTTATGATTAACAGAGTTGCTCTTGCTGTCAGCATTTACGTTTTGCGTCTGGTCGACGTTCTTCCGATTTCGTTGACCTTAGACGTCTCGCTCGGTGGCGTGAAGTTTGAAGCAATGATGTGATCAACGCCAAACAAAAGCTTGTTGACTCCATGCTGATCATATGATAGAATACAATCCGAGTATTTGGTAATCCCACACTAGACTTCAAACTACCGTACTACTCATATGCCTTTGCATCTTTCATCCTTATTCCCACTGTATTAAGGGAAGGGTGAGAAATTGAATTCGAATAAGAAAGGACATTCTGCCTTCTTTTCTTGGCACTTACACGTATTGAAGGAGTCCCATGGATTCGATGCGTCCACTCCCATTCGAATCCACTGCGTCACAATCTTCTTCTCTCCTTCATAAACTGGACACCCACTGTGCTCGGTGAATCGATTGTCAGTAATCCTAGTCTTTGGATCCATGTAGCTGAAAAAAACAGCGTTGCCCACGACAGGCTTGACGTGAACACCGGCGTTGCGGAAATTCGTCGCCCCTCCTACCGTTGGAACGGTGCAATAAACAACCATAGTTGCCATCCGGGTGCCAGCATGATGAGGGAGGCCAGTGCAGTCCCCATCGCAATGCTGCAGGTCGAGGGCATGGGGGAGAGAGAGAGCGTTGAACATAAGCTCATGGCCTGACTGTGACGAGGAACGAATCGATGCAGAGTGTTCCAGTACTTACCGGCATATAGCGATCCGGATGTTCGTCATCCTTTCCTCTTCCAAAGTACTGAATCGACATGAGATCTTCCTGACCATGTTCGTCGATGTTGAGACCAAGTGCATGGTTGGCATAGTCATAAACCCTCCGACTCAGTCGAGCTATCGGGTCGCCATTTTTCTCCTTTTGCCAAGGCACACGAATACCAGCTTGCTTTGCTCTCCGATGATCCGAAACTTTTGATCCTCCCTTACCATCAGCCACAGTTGCCGTGTGTAAAGAGGGTTCAGCAGTCTTCTCCATGGCAGCACATTCTTCCTCGTCGATGAAGTTATCAATCACATGGATTTGGCTACTCGAACGATTATGTTTGACATGCACCGTGCGGCTGTTGCCGTCAGAATGTGCCCAAATGTGAGACGATAAATCTGGTGAACTTGGCGCATGCGGGTCTGTGCAAGTATAATTCTCGAGTTGGCCAGCAATGTCATGACGAGTCCTCGCTTGAAGAGAAATTGCTCGATTCAGATCAACTAGTTCCTCCACTAGTTCTTTCTCAGTGCAGTTTGCTAGGTCCTCCATCCATTGTACGGCAGCTTCCAGGGAATGAGCATCCTTCATCCGGTCCATAGCTTGCCTTTGACACGACCCAACCCAGTCATTGGCATCATATTTCACTTCAAATTGAGCGCCTATTGTCCGATAGAGACACCAGTTAATGTGAATTGCACATCATCCCATGAGAGTAAACAACCATTCCAACTTACTTTTTTCGTCCTCTTTGTGAACATCCATCTTCTCGGTCACTTCTTCTTCAATATTGTGTTGCGGTAGCTTCTTCAAGCCCATTCGTTGTTTCTTCCGAATTTGATTCAACAATTCTTTCTTTTCTTTCCGAACCTGTTCGGTCTCTTCCACATGATCTAGGGTAATCAGCCGTTCCTTTACATTGACCTTGATCATTTGTTCATCTTCGTCTCGCGTATCGTCTTTTAATGCGATGTGCTCGCGTTTCGTTTGTTCCCTGGGTTTTTGTTTATCAATAGTCTGAACGAGATTGCGGCGTCGGTCCAATTGTGAGCCTTGTCTCAAATTCTTGGGCAATGGATGATTCGGCGTCAGAACGCGAATAGCGGCATGATGTACCGAGTCCACGGCGGAATGAAAATGATGTCCATGATCGTGAGTACTGGTACCACCCATGGCAACATACGAACACCCCACGACGAATGCGAAGAATGCCAAGAGTGGGAGACTAACCCAAGGTCGTGTGTATCTCGCTTTCTACCCTTGACTCTCTTCTGATCGTGGGTCTGTCCTAGTCGAACACTCCCATTTATATTGACGTGCCCATTACCACGCCAATTCTCATCCACCACTCGCGGAGCTCGTTGTCGAAGCGACATGATGACAATGTGTCTCGATAAGGGATGAGAGGGTGTTGATGGGAATTTGCAGGATGACAGGATGGCCGTTAGCTGCGAGAGATAGGGGACTGGAGACAGGAGTCACGAGCGAGGGTCGTGTGTGGAACGAAAACAACTAAAACTCTAAAACTGTCCTGAGTGAAAAACGGTAATAACCGTTATTCACGTTTTCACAATCGGGAGATCAGGAGTCCCGACTCCCCCGCAGATCGATATTGGCATAAATAAAAGCATAAACAATCTACGCATAGAGTTCGTAGAACGTACCAGTAGTATAAAATATGAAATACTTCGAGTACAAGAGTACAATAAAGTACAAATTTCATCCGGATAATACGCACCCTAACACCCTAACATACACTCCGTATTTTGCCGCTTGTGCTTCCATCCAAAATTTTCGTTACCTACGATTCAAACACACCATCGGCACCGAAGTGCGCTGTCGGGTGGAGTTCGTGAAAGCTAGTCACCAAGCCATGAAAGCACAAAATAACCATTCGAGTCCAGCACATACTAGAGTACTAGTATGGGGTTCATTAAGCCCGACACTAAGTAAGCTATCATGTGACCATCAATGCTGTTGATCCTACAAGTCCCATGATCACGAGGCTTTAGATATCCTAGGCACAGATGCATTTACAGCGGTCCACTCATACCGCGCCCTCAGGGACCCTGCCTTTGTACTCTGATCCATCCAAGCATTTCTGGAGGTCTTTCACGTCCTCTCCAAATTGCCCGAAGTGCCCCACTACCTTCGTAAATGTGGTTGTGAAATCATCGTTACTCGAATATTTCCGACCATGTGGATAGGCCCGAACCTTGATGTTGCGTCTGGTACATTCCATTCCATGAATCGGATGCCAAAGGTTTTGAATTCCGTGGACGGCCATCATGTGGATGGGTCGTTTGGACATGCGAGCTAGAGTGTAAGCGCCGGAATAGATGGGAAGCAAGCCGGCTTCCGGGTGAGGGTTCAACTGTCCTTCTGGCAGGATCCCAATGTCAAAGCCATCCGCGAAGGCCTGCTTGGTTTCTTTCAACAACGTGCGGAAGCTACTCATGTCGTATTCATTGTCGTTACCATTGCCGTTATCAGCCATTTGTACTGGAATGAAACCGCATTGTCGAAAAAGGAGCTTCGTGATGGGATTATCTTCCAATTGCTTCCACTGTCAACGAATGGAAACAGTTTGAGTATGAAACTCTGCAAGAGAATAGCGTAGTAAAAAGCGTGGGGTACGTAGTACGTGCAAACAAGCTGATCCAAAGAACTCGAGTGGCGATCAACAACTTACGTAAACAATCTTGATTGGCCGCCTATTCTTCCCTCGCAACTGAAAATCGCTGGCCAAAAGCATGAAGACGTCCAACATACTTTGATGGTTGCAGACCCAAATAGCTGGTTCTGGATTGTCATCCTGATGCGGAATGATCTCAACCTTGCAAAACGGGATAATGCGGAGGAGCCAACGAGCACAAAATTCACCAGTCAGAAGAGCTGCTCTCTCGGATTGCGCCTTGCCAATAAGCTTGGCTTTGTAGAGCAGCTGCTGGGGTATCAACGTCACCGGCAGTGCCAAGCACATACCTAAAATGAATGCGAGCATTCCCATCTGTAAAAGGAGGAAGCGATTGTGAGTTGGTCCGTGCAAGTAGCGGAAGGAGGCAGTCTAGCCGTTGACCAAGATATAAATCATGCTTTTGACGTGCATGTCCTCTAGTAGATCCAGGATCCAGCATACCTTCGTCATAGCGGATGCAACAGGTCTCAATGGCGCTGGTGAATCAGCTGCAGAGTTGGTGGATACGACAACACTGGATTCAAGTGCTCTGACTGTCGAAAGAACTTTCTTCTGAAACAGAGGAGAAGACAAGGCCGGCCATTGTGATGAAGATCTTGGAACAGGAGCTACAGAGAAAGCCGACGCTTTTGGCATCAATGCAAGCGTCGTGGCAAAGGTCAACGCTATGCGCCATATCGTCGCCATTGTAGCGATAAAGATACAGGTGCCTTTTAAAGCTTAATCAAATCGACGTTATCGTAAGCGTTCTGGATGGTGGGCGATACAGCGATAGTCGTAAAGTTTTTGCATCTGCTTGCTCCAAAACCTCGCTGCCGTATGTCATCCGGTATCAGGTGCGGTTCAACTTTCGAATCGAATTTGAGTGTTGGATGATGTCACGTGTTGTCAGTCATCATGTCATCATATCACACGATCATATGCTGGGTACAGTACATGTCATACATAAGTATGACATAGACATGGTACATGTATTGGTACATACATAAATCCGATCATTCGATGCGCATACACCCGTCTATCTGGTACTGGTACTACCGGGCGTACCTTGTACTCCGAGTACTTTGTATCAGATACTATGCATAGCTCTGGGACATCCGGAAAACCGGGTGGTCGAGGACGTGGGAGGACATAATTATGGAGCAATGCAATCAAATGACCGAAATACTAGAACTACAGTAGAAAAGAGCTCGAAAAAATGCATCATTTGGATGGAAGATAGAACAGACACGCTGACAAAGAAAGTTATAGACGTATTCAAACACGGACAATATTTTAAATCAATCGATGGAAAACGGTTATTTAAATTAGGAATCATTACAATGTAGGCTGGCGCGCGAAGAGCTAGGCAGGCGCGTATCTGTCGATGCATCGGTCGGCCGGCGCGCAACGGCAAAAAGTTCAATAAAAATCCCGGTTCATTATTTTGGTTCATTAAGAATCCCGGTTCAT